CGAGAGCTCTGGATGAGTTGAAACACATGAAATAAGTGGAAGTGTGGTCATTCTGGTACCGGTAGTACTGATTCATAAACATATTCTGTGTCCCAAACGCACGGATAGTCGCCAAACCACTCAATGTGGTGCTCATGTGGTTATATATGGGACTCCGGGCTGTGGTTAGGGATATAATCTAATTTATATTACTGTACAAAAGTGTTCATAACTTATACCCATGTTTTCAAATCTTTTCAAATCTCTCGCTGTTTTTATGTAAATCCATCGGATTAGCAAGATTAGGATAATCAGGACCAGTGCTGGGAATATGAGGTACCAGTTCACAAACGCCACCACCACTAAGAAGCCTATTAATTGAGCGGCAATCTATTTGATACATATTTTGGAAATTACTACATTTATATCTCCTTTCCCTCCAATACATACACTAATCAAGTCATACAAACACAACGGCATCTGTTCGTCAACTATTCCCATGTCTTTCGTGAATCGATTCAAAATACGGCCTAAAATTGAATATAATTCACAATATATATATAATTCACATCCCTGTCCCCTCTATCACAATCACTAACCGATGGGATTGTTCTCAAAGAAAGCGATCGGAGCTCTCATTAGTCTAAAGAATATTCTGTTGTGAAGATTGACTGACGCTATGACACACATCATGAAGAAAGTGACGGAACGGATGATCATTGTTATGAAAGTGGCGGACATTAGTACAGAATATATCACTATATTATCCGTTTGTGTGTATTCTTCGGATCTATTTCTAGAATCCTCGGCATTAGTCCTGAAAAAGTATAATCATATCATTGAATTCAAACATATTGTTATACTGTATAGAAACCAAATTACCAATCGGTTAGCCATATGTCAGTGTAATGAAAGAGTCCCTGGTAAGCCAGTGTAGACACGATTGTCAGAGTTAATAATACGGGACCGGCACCTGCTGTCACGTAATCCCAATATACCCGACCCTTTATGGTACCGGTAGCTTTGCTTTCATCCACGAGCTTTTGTTCACATTCTCGCGTATTATCCTTAAAATATAGTCCAAATTATCGATTTATAATTCATTGCACTATAAATAACATGAAATATACATCAGATTCAGCAGATACTGAGCTACCCGTCCTCTTCCTGGGGAACAGCTCTTGCGAAGCCATCAGCTCTTCGCTAATTATTTCATCGCTTTTGAACTTATTTTCGGACTTCACTTCTGTTTGTATTAAATTCATAAAATCAATACCGGATTCACATAATCCTTTGTACGACCCATAGGCTAGGGGTCGGCCCTCTTTGAGCACCAGTATTTTGGTAGCCTTTTGTATGAATTGAATTTGATGTGTGACTAAAACAACAGCTTTTGATTTCAGGTAACCTGTTATACATCTGTAAACAAAGTATTTATAATACTATGAAATTTAATCCATTTTTTAACTCACTTTTCAAAAATATGTTTCGCGACATCGGAGTCGACGGCGCTTAACGGGTCGTCCAGTAAATAGATATCGGCGTCGCTATAGAGGGCACTGGGATTGGGGTGAAAATGCTGTGATAATGATCACACAATATACCAGAATATTTTTGGAATAGTACAACTGACCGTGCTAACGTGAGTCTAGCTTTCTGCCCGCCACTCAATGACACACCCCTTTCCCCGACTAATGTCTTCTCTCCAAATGGAAATTGCTTTAAATCCCTGTCCATCGCGCAGACGGACATTATTTGACGGAATTTCTGTAATTCATAAGGCTTTCCAAACAGAATATTCTGCAGAATAGTTGCGTTGAAAGCCCACGACTCCTGCGGGGCGTATGCTATAGTACCCTCTACTTGGACGGCACCGGTAGTCACCTCAATCTCATTCATCAGAGACATCAGGAATGAGCTCTAATTTAAGGCAAAAATTAATTATTCATTTTGTAACTTTAAATAATTGAAAATCAACATACCTTTCCCGAGCCTACCGGCCCCACAACAGCTAACAATTCACCGGTTTGTAAACTGCATGATATGTTTTGTAGGGTTATTATATCAGAGTCCTATGAATAGAAATTAGTTTTTAATATTCATATTTCACATCCCTTTTCACTAACAATATCCCATTTGGCCGACACGTTGTCCACGAAAATACTGTTCCCATCGTTGCATCGATTAGTTATTTGTGCGTCAATTAAGGCTATATTAAAACCGTTGCTATTTTTCTTGACATCCAAATCACTCTCTTTATACTGAATGCCTTTTAAGTGGATTTCATCCAAAAGTAAAAATTTCTACACAAATAAAACACACGATTATATGTTTACTAAATAAATCATTAATACCTGGATCACAAACCTGGACCCTTTTGCACGAGACGTATATCTCCGCGGCATAGCCTATCATATACGGGAAAAAGAAGGTCATTGTGAGCCGTATTGTGTTGAATATAGCCATCGTTACGAACACCTTCTCGGCGCTCAAGTGCTCTCCCGTCAGGACATAGACTATGAATATCGTGAAGATTATCACTTTATCCGATATAATCGATATGGATATGTTTAGGGCCCTCAAAAGGGTCGACCCCCTTATTTTGGACATCTCTTTCCTAGTTATCAATAAACAAATATTTATATAAGTCATTTGATTTTCATTTATAATTATTGAAAATTTGATTATTGTAATTTTGGTAAGCATTATAATACAGTACTCAAGTTATAGTGATACGTAATTGCATGTAATAAATATAACCAAAAACTTTTTAGTTAATAATAGTAACTAAAAATGATATTTTCTGAATAAGTGAATATAAAAATGTAATTAATATCTAAAAATTATATATACTTTCGGACGTCGGATATAAGTTGCGAGAAGTGCTGTTCCCAGGCATACATTTTGATGACTGCCATCCCTTTGATTATTTCATTCATTAAACGAATCCTATTATCGGTGAGCGAGGCCACTTTTGTCCTACAAATTTATAATTTATTAAGATAATATTATACAGTACTACCAAAAACCTTAAACACTGGTATACCTTATTAATAAAAACAGCCTGCCCAAAACGCTATTGAACGGAATAAAGCAAAATAAAATAGCCAGCCCTATAAAACACGTCCACCCCACGTATATGTAGCAAATATAGA